CCCCCCCCCCCCCCCCACCCACGGCCGGCCGGCCGCGCGCGGAGCGAAGGGAAGGGGCGGCTCGCGTGCGGCCTTGCAGCGGCGGCCGAAGCCTGCGCTCGAGTACTTTAACTCGCCCTCCCACACTTTAGTTGTTGCCGCCGCAGGGCCTCTCAATGTGGGGACTGCGGCGGGCGAAGAAGTCGGTACCTGGTAGGGCTGCGAGTCCCCCTTGCGGTCGTGACAGCTGGAAGAGAAAAAGAGAGAGAGGGACAGAAACGCAGCGTTAGCGAGCGACCGTTACTGGCGGTTGGCATCGAGGGGCGGGGGGGGGGGGGGGGCGACATAGGCGCAGTCGGGGAGGGCGGGACGCGAAAGGGGTATTTACCCATCATTGAGTCTTTGCTGTTTCCTCGCATACATTACCATCAATGCCCGGCCTGTGAGAGAGAGACTGAGGGGACCAGGAGGGCGCGGCCGGGCCACGGGCGCCGCCGAGGGGGGAAGGGGAAGCAGCGCTCCGACCGGGGACGGGGAAGAGGAGGGGAAGGGAGGGAGGAGAGGCGGCTCAGGCAGCTCGGCTGTGAGAGGAAGCAGCGCTCACGGGCCCATCTCCTCTCCACACCCGGCTGTGAGAGGAGAGGCTGCGCCGCAAATCACGCACAGAGAGGAGCGCGGAAGACGACGACGTCCCCGCCGCCCCCGCGGTCCGCCTTCGCTCGCCCGCCGCTGCCGCCGCCGCCTCCCCCCCCCCTCCCTCAGCCACTGCTCCCAACACTACCGCCGTCCGATTACATCCGGGAAACTGGGACGCCACCGCCTTCGCTTACCGTCGGCTGCGGTCGGCTCTTTCCGACCAAACTCTCCCCCCCCCCCCACACACACACTATGGTTTTTTGTTTTTTTTAATATCAACCTTCCTCTTTCTTAGGCCTAAGCCCCTCCTACCTCCCCTCACAGGTTCTGAGAGCCTCTCTTCCGAGAGCCATCGGCCGTTTCCGTTCAATGCCGGAAATCCCTTGCTGTGGAAGGGAAAGCCTGAGCGCTCGGCTCTCAATTTAAGACTCAATTTCACCTTCGGGAAACATCGGAGGTTTCCGTCAAGCCGATGGCACGCCCTTGGATGAGATCTCGGGTTTTCCCGGCGCTAGTTTAGTTTAGTTTAGTTTACTTCATTGTCAATGCACCTCATACAACGCAATTAAATACCATCTTCAGTGTACATTATGCTTATGAAAATAAACAAACACACATCCTTCACGTTCTATAAATTGATGTTTTATAGGTGTTTCTTCTCCCTTGGTCTCCCTATCTTAAACTAGATAGGGAGGGGGCGTGCATAAGCGCACCAACGTGCCTACCGTCCCTGTCCTATTGTTTCTCTTATTCTTTTATTTTTCTTATATGTACCCATTTCATGTATTCACAACTATGTATACATTTATACTTATTATCTTGTAAACAATTGGCAAATCAAATAAATAAATAAATAAATATCTGCTGCTCTTTCGGTTGTTTCTGTAAACGAGACGGAGAACGTGTCCGATCGGCACGTAAGTCTTGTAAAAGCTACTCCCTAAAACGCTCCCAGGTGCTGCGAACATCCCTGGCCACTGATTGGCTGAGGCCTTTCCGCCCATTCGCTCCCTCGACTTTAAATGCGTTGCCTGCGGGAAGCAGATGTTGCGAGTTTGGAGTTCGTTGCAGTTTGGTTGGAGACGTGAAGCGGTAACGCGTTTGGTAAGAGCTTGACTTTATTTTCTCACTATAACCCAGGACCTTTCCGTACTAAACTCTCACTAAACTCTGTTTGCAGCCTCTGAGAAAATCGCCTGCGGAACGAGATTTAAACGGAGCCTGAAAAGATTCAGCGCAGCCCCGTTCGAAAAGTAAGTGCTGTGCATTTGCAGCAACCTGTTTTGTGGGGGGAGCGGGCGTAAAACTTGGCGAGCTTTTCGTGCATGTGGACTGCAACTCTCGTCGTCCTGAGCCGCTTTATGCCCCTGCAAGGCAGGAGTTTTAATCCAAGGAGTTTTTTTTTCCCATGCACGGGATATATTTCATGCACCGGAGCGTCTGAATTTTTAGCGGGGTTACTGACGAGACGCCCACAACAAGGCGCTGGACGCCGGCAGCCCCGCACACAAGCCGTGGGGAGAGGATGAACGCTCACGTGCACCTGGCTGGGTACCGCTTGTTGGTTTGCTTTGGGAAAGGGCGGTGGTGGTGGGAGGGGCAGTGGTATATTAACCATTAAGCAAACTAAGCACGTTCTTAGGGCACCAGACCGCAAAGTTGAGAATATATCTTAGTTTGTACAGTTGGTACGGAGGGGGGCCACCGGTGAGCCTTAATCCGCCGCTAGGTAAAAGCAAAAGCTCGGCGTCCTTCATTTTAAGCAGTGCGCAGACGCGGAGGTGAAAGTTGGGTCTGGCGCCGGAGCTCCTCCCGGCTCCTCCCGAGGTGCCCGGTGGCCATTTCGAGGGAGCCTCTGCAGCGCCCGAGGCTGGAAACGAAGCTATTCTGGATGCGGGGCGTTCTGGACCCAAGGGCAAGGAGGCTCGGCCTTGTCGGGGTTTGCAGCTGACGGAAAAAGCCCTCTTGCCTTTTCTGCTGTCTTGGCGGCAGCTGTGGACCCTTCCTGGCCAGAAAAGGGCGGGGTGGGGGGTGGGTGGTAACATCTCTCGGCCCTGAACTTGCCAAATTGGTTACACTTTCCAAACCAAAACTGGTTTGTTTCTCCTTGCCTCAAAAATAGAAAAATAGGGAAATTAAAAGTGTCTCCTCTGGTGGAAGATTCAGTAATGACATGGGAAAAACATACAGGTAGTCAGCTACTTACAACAAACAGAATGGTGGTTTAAAGTTACAATAGCACTGGAGGGGAGTGGCTTATTAACTATCACACAAACATTTTGGGAGGACCACCCCATGGTCACTGGATCTGGAGCATCCCATCCCCTAAGGAATTGCAGTTGGCAGGCTCCAGGAAAAGAGACTTCTGCCATGGCTCCCGCCCTTTGGAATATCATGCCCCACAAGGTAAGATCCACTCCCACCCTCTGCCCTTCCAAAAAAGCGTGAAAACCTGACTTTGTCAGCTGGCTTGGGGCTCTGGTGAGGGTCTCTCATTTTGGAAGTGGATAGTAGACTAGTATAAGATTTCACTTTCATCATCCCATCTACACATTGGTTTTTAGTCTTTTTACAAAACACATTTTTAAAAGAAATTATGCAAACAAAACAAACAAAGATGGCAAAGAAACCAACTTGGATGGAAAAACAGTAAGTTTAATTCACCCTCACCAAAGGCCTATGAAACACTAGTGGGCCATTTGGCTTTCAGGAAGGAATGTTGGTCAGCCATATCATCTAGAGAATACTTGATGGGAAAGAGTGACTTTGAACGGTTTGATACCTCAGGTATAAGTATGGACAAACTGAGGGAAATTGTTTAATTCCAGAGTAAATAACTTTGGGGGACATTCTGCCATAAAGTTTCAGATTGACCTTTAGACTGTTTGGGGGTTTGGGTGAAATAAAAGTCCAGGCAGTTTCAAGTAGGATGAGATAGTATGCATCTCACCTCTTCCCCTTAACATCTACTAGTATGTGATATTTTATCCCCCAGCCCCCAAGGACTATCCATGGTCTAGTCTCAGATACACATACATACCACATACACAGGTTTCAAACAATATCTGTTTTCCAGAGATTTGAGGATATAATAGCCAGTATAAAGCTACAGAACAGCTTGGTGACTCTTATAAATTTGCAAAGATGGGTGATTCCATAAAACATCTGCTTTATGAGGCTGGAGGCCAAGTAAGGGGAGAAATGTTTCTTCTCATTGCTTTGACTATATGTCAACAAGCACTTAATTCTACACTCATGCAAAAACTTAGTAACTATTCAGATTGCAGACAATATGAATTGCTAAATTAATGTGGAAACACCTTGGATGTCATATTTAAAGTAGAAATGGGATACCTGGAAATTTCTAAAACTGGTTTCATCCATCACCTTTTAATTCAGTTTGTCTTCACATTAAACCACATGTGTACAATGTAGGATTACTAAAATAGCCATTTTTCTTTCTTCCTTAAATGAATTTAGGAAATTGGTGATATAGCCAGTAGAAGAAAGGACCCTTGTCTGTCGATAAAGTCAGCAGGATGATTCAACAGGGCGCAAATCTCCAGTCCTCTAATAATGAACTTGTGGATTATATGATAGAGTTGTGCATTCAGAAAAGTGAAGTAGACGAGCAAATTGAAAAGTTAATAAAAAGCAAGGCTAAGGTTCAGAATGAAATTGAGATGTTAACCCAACAACTGGAAAATATATGTGAAAGTTTAGCTTGGAAAAAGGCTGTACAAAAGGAGCTTGATGCCATTCTTGTTGATGGACAGTTCACCTATGACAAGATTTTGGAGAGTTCTAAAATGCTACTAAATGTTTTGAAAGCAGAAATTGAGAATGTAGACAAAATGATAGAATGGAAAAAGCAATACTGTGAATCAGACTCAAACTAAACCAATGTTAACACTGGCAAATGGATTGTTTAAGAAATGCCACATTTTTTGTTTTTCTATTCACTTTATTAAGTGATCTTATTAATGGGTAAGAAAAGTAGTTCTCAAATAAGTAGAAATAAAGCATCTGAAAACTAGTTGACGAACTACTGAAAATGAAAAATCACTCAAGCCTAAGTTCTAGAATTATTTGTCACATAAAAAGGTGGGGACCAAATGTTTTGCTCAAATGAGATGTTAAAATAAGATGTAATTCAGATGATAATGCTATGGATTACTTCATTAAAGAAAAGCAGTTTGGGGGGAATTTATTACTGTAGTCAGCAATAGGTTTTGGAGGGGAAAGCAACAACCCAGGTTTTGGAAGGGAAAGCAACATGTAATGTAGGAATGTTTGTAGAATTGGTTTTGAGGGATATCACTGCCAGAATTTTTCCTCTTATTCCTCTAGAAGAGGCAAGGCATTTAACTAACTCCTTAATTTTCCTTTAAGACTTACACCCCTGTTCCCAGTAAATATGCAGAGGTGTAAATTGAGAATGTAAAGTGGTGGATCACTGATGACTTTTTGTTCTGTGAAGAAGGATATGCCCAAATGCTGACTAGCTTGCTAAAGAAGGCTTAGCAAAGTGAGAGGATTGCGAAAGTAGCTGTGACATTAAAATTTGTAAGCCATGGTTAACGGTTTACTGTAACATGGGAATATAGCCAATGCCTGGATGTGCAACAGTTTAATAAAGTATTCATTACATGTATATCTCATCTTTATTTTATGCAAGGCCTATTCAGCCTGCTTTTGTGTCTACTGGAGGACTAAAACTCTAAATCACTGTTTCTAATTCAGTATCTTGATCTCCCACACCAGACCAACCTTTTTGCTCTCAAAACATCAACTTGCTATATACAGTAGATAAAATGAACCAATTGGATAACTTTATTTTATTTTCAATTTCTAAAACTGCTAACAAAATGCTAGTAACATAAGTGAAAAACCCCAGATGCCAATCTGAAAATGCTTGGTTGAACTGGCTTTTAGGGTAAAATGAAAGCACTGAATCTTTAGGTTTTAATTTGTCAGTTTCACTCATTGTGTTTTATAAAACTAATGTGATAATCACTGATATTTGAAAAAAGGTACAAAAATTTGGTCATTTATTCGCTGTCTAAACACAATCTCAGAATACGCAGTTTATATAAATAAGAGTAGGAATAAAATGTCCTTATTCGTAAGTACAGGTGAAACTCAAAAAATTAGAATATTGTGCAAAAGTTCATTTATTTCAGTAATGCAACTTAAAAGATGAAACTAATATATGAGATAGTCATTACATGCAAAGCAAGATAGTTCAAGCCATGATGTGTCATAATTGAGATGATTATGCCTTACAGCTCATGAAAACCCCAAATCCACAATGTCAGAAAATTAGAATATTGTGAAAAGGTTCAATATTCTAGGCTCAAAGTGTCCCACTCTAATCAGCTAATTAAGCCATAACACCTGCAAAGGGTTCCTGAGCCTTTAAATGGTCTCTCAGTCTGGTTCAGTAGGAAGCACAATCATGGGAAAGACTGCTGGCCTGACAGTTTTGCAGTAAAATATCATGGACACCTCCATAAAGAGGGACAGCCTCAAAAGGTAATTGCAAAAGAAATTGGATGTTCCCAAAGTGCTGTATCAAAGCACATTAATAGAAAGTTATGTGGAAGGGAAAAGTGGAAGAAAAAGGTGCACAAGCAGCAGGGATGACCGCAGCCTGGAGAGTATTGTCAGGTAAAGGCCAGAAAGTGTTGGGGAGTTTCACAAGGAGTGGACTGAGGCTGGAGTCAGTGCATCAAGAGCCACCACACACAGACGGATCCTGGACATGGGCTTCAAATGTCGTATTCCTCTTGTCAAGCAGCTCCTGAACAACAAACAATGTCAGAAGCGTCTTACCTGGGCTAAAGAAAAACAGAACTGGTCTGTTGCTCAGTGGTCCAAAGTCCTCTTTTCTGATGAGAGCAACTTTTGCATCTCATTTGGAAACCAAGGACCCAGAGTCTGGAGGAAGAATGCTGCAAGATGCTTGAAGTCCAGTGTGAAGTTTCCACAGTCTGTGTTGATTTGGGGAGCCATGTCATCTGCTGGTGTTGGTCCACTATGCTTCATTAAGTCCAGGGTCAATGCAGCTGTCTACCAGGAGATTTTGGAGCACTTCATGCTTCCTTCTGCAGACAAGCTTTATGGGGATGCTGACTTCATTTTCCTTCATTGGCACCTGCCCACACTGCCCAAAGCACCAAAACCTGGTTCAATGACCGTGGGATTACTGTGCTTGATTGGCCAGCAAACTCGCCTGACCTGAACCCCATAGAGAATCTATGGGGCATTGCCAAGAGAAAGATGAGACACATGAGACCGAACAATGCAGAAGAGCTGAAGGCTGCTATTGAAGCATCCTGGTCTTCCATAACACCTCAGCAGTGCCACAGGCTGATAGCTTCCATGCCACACTGCATTGAGGCAGTAATTGATGCAAAAGGGGCCCAAACCAAGTACTGAGTACATATACATGCTTATACTTTCAGAGGTCCGATATTGTTCTATGTACAATCCTTGTTTTATTGATTGCATGTAATATTCTAATTTTCTGAGATTGTGGATTTGGGGTTTTCATGAGCTGTAAGGCATAATCATCTCAATTATGACAAATCACGGCTTGAACTATCTTGCTTTGTATGTAATGAGTCTATCTCATATATTAGTTTTACCTTTTAAGTTTCATTACTGAAATAAATGAACTTTTGCATGATATTCTAATTTTTCGAGTTTCACCTGTATTCTGGTTATTCTCTCCTGGAACTTTGAAAAATTGGGTTAACAATTTTATTAACAAAACAAGGTTATGCAGAAGTTGCTGCATTTTATTATGGCAGATGTTAAACATCCCTAGAACATCTGGAGAGAAAAATGCATACAACTCCAGTTTTCTCACTTCTTGAAAAGAATAGGTTATAAATGCCTATGTCCCATCATAGCTCTTTTCAAATGTTTTGGTCTGTATATGTTTAATTGGTAATAGAGATACTAGATTCAAAAAAAGAAAGATCATTTCAGCAGACATGATTGGCAGTTCTGCTATTCACTGCTTGGGGTGATGTCCACATAGTATTCATGGTGTCTACTTTGAGATTGGAAGGGATTATATTGCAGTCATGGATTGTAAATATTTTTTCTTTCACACTCTTTTTCTTTGTACATAAGAAAGTACATACAATTTGTTTGGAACAAATTTATGTGCACTTTGTGGTGAAAAGAACAGATTGCAATTTAGAATTAAAACAACATTGGCATAAATAATTTAAAATTTAAAAAACCCAATTATGGTAAGTGACAGCTGGAATCAGCTTTGGAAATAGCTACTGTAGCTTATCCTGCAAAAGATGCAGGTATTTTAATACTCCAAAGAGAGGTACTTTCATAGTCCCACAGATTACAAAAACGCCACGTTTTATGCAGACCTGGTACATTCCTGGTACCTGGTGAATAATACAGGATAAGTCTCTTTCCTCCCAGGCAGATCTTGGTGTATTTGCAGAAAAGCTTTTTCTACAAAAGTAGGTTCTTTTAGGATACACACTGATCACTGGAAACAATTCTGCATATTTGCTTATATGTCCATATATTGTTGCATCTAATTGCTTCACGATTTTTCATATCCAGAAAACCAAGTAGTTCTTAAAGTTTTATATGTTTTTCCTGCAAATTTCCACATAGCATGTGATTTTTTTTAAATAAAAATCTACTTTAATATGATATCTTTTGAAAGATACAAATTGGCTCTATTCTTTTAAAGTTATCACATTTTCCCAACTACCATATATTAATTTTTCTAAAGTTTTCTTGCTCAGGAATTAATAGGCTCTGTTTTTTGCTTCCTCATATGCAGGACTAACGTGGTGGATTATGGAACTTCAAAGAGGCCTTTTTAAAAAAATGCTAGCCTCAACCTCTGCATTATAAAATTTGTTAGGATATGAAAAGAAAATGTAACAGGGAAGTACAATGTACTGAAATGTATAAGACCTTGAAACATGAAGCAGATGTTAACTTGAATAATGAGTATCCAACAGAAAGATAATAAATGATCTTTCTGTCTAATAACTATTTTCTGAAAAAATCCAGAATCATTAAGAATTTTTGTGGATGAATAATCCCAGTCGTACAGATTTTAATATCCCCACATTGTTTCAATGTTTGTGTCTATGTTATGAAACAGAAAAAGATCAAGTGGGTGCAATCCTGTTTAGAGTGAAAACGTGTTTACCAAATACATACTCCTGGCAGAGGAAGAGATGGAAGCTCCTAAATTTATTCCCAGTGGGAGAGAACTGTCATGATGAAATGTAGGTATGTTAGGGCAGTTCTTTGCTGATCTTCCAAAAACAAAAATTGGTTAGTACTTGGATAGGACGCCATCAGGAAATCCCTCGATTTTAGCCACATGGGGAAGTTATCAAAAAAAGGCAGTAATAAAATATTTTGCTTTAGATTCCAACCAGCCCCTATCCATTTTCCTGAAATCACTAGATATTGAGACCCTTATTTTTAAAAAGCCAAAAGGCTTTGCATCTTCTAGGCAATGCTTTTCAAACTTGGCAATTTTGGATGTGTGGACTTCAACTTCCAGAATTCCCCAGCCAGCATGCTAGGCCTTTGGCTACCTCCTGCTTTGCTCTCCGATGTTAATGGGACATGTATCCAGGCCCTATAGCCTATATAGGGAGAGGACAAAGTTGTTCTTTCAGTGTATCTTTTCCTCAACTGGAGAAGGAAGCA